ACTTGAATGCATTCGGGAGGCATGCAATAATATTGGAAAAATAAAAACATAAATCACATGAAGAAATTACATACATGAATCATATGAAGAAGATGATCCCAACAGTGATTGAGAGAGAAGGGCAAGTACCACATATTATAAAAAAACAATTTGGGACATTGCTATTTACTTTATGTATTAACTTTTTAAAATTGTTTGTTTTAGCTATGTAAGTGTTGGTCGTGACTCTTTAAATGTTTTAACTGAATTTAAGGGGTTAAACAGTTTTGAAGTTATTGATGGTTTTGTTCTTTAGCGTTTTATTCTCTTATTCTATCTGTCTTCACTCTAGTTTTCCGTTGCAGCTGATTACTGTTTGCTCCTGGCCATAGCAATGTCTTTGCATTAACGATAAAGACAACTGGCATGAGGATATTGAGGAGTGGTGTGAGTTCGTTCGACTGACAAATTTGGGCGCCCTATCAGCATTACATGCTTATTCTCCTACCTTGCAATCATCATGTAGGCTATATTGTCCGATACTGCGGTGCAGGACAGGAAATTCCTGCGGCCATTTGGTAAGGGTAAATTCCAGCGGCACTGTACCTGTAATCTATATTGCATCCCTCCCCCCCTCCCACACACACACACAGACACACCTATTTTTCAAGACTGAATTCCTCCAAACCCCTTGTCAACGAAAGCAGTTACGACTATGAATTATAGTCGGTTATAATTATTCAAAAAACGCCATTGCATTCTCTCCAGTAAATCAAAAATTCACTTGACCATATGCGCCTTAGTAGAAAATGGGGAGGGGTGAATTTGGTTTATTATTTTCGTTTTCTTTTTAATTTCATTTCATTTTTTAATACTGAACTTTTCTTATGACGATTTCATCAAAGCTATGCCTTAAAATCAGACTTAAACGTTTTAATTTTTGCTCTTGAATTTTTTTGTCATTTGATTTTGGTTTAGCTTTTAAATAGCTGCGTACCGTTGAATCTATCAATAATTTATAAAAATGTCGTCTGGAAGGAGAAATGGGCGCGTGTCCCTCCTCAGCTTCTGAGCTATCTCTTATTGCTCTTTTAAAAGGGAGCTAAGCGACAAAAAAGATGTATTATGTATAGCAATATAGTACAGCAATATCACGATCGTCTATTGGTAACTTTTCAAACTTGCACCTCCCCTCCACTAAGAGCCAACCTAATGTTACATCCTAGCCCTCCCTTAACAAAAATTGAATCCGCCAGAGAACCAGGACTGACATTGTACCAAAAGGACATATTTTGTACTAGATGTTTTTGGACTTTTCTTTTTTTTTTTTTTTTTTTTTTTT